TGGAGATGGCGGCGTGCTCGCTGAACATCAGCGTCTCGGCCCTCTTCTTGGGCTGCGACATCTTGATGAACATGCAGCCGATCAGGAAGGCGTCCACGATGGAGCCCAGGATGGACTGGAAGAGGAAGAGGATGATGCCCTCGGGGCACTTGTCGGTGATGTAGCGGTAGCCGTAGCCGATGGTGGCCTCGGTCTCGATGAAGAAGAGGAAGGCCGAGGGGAAGTTGTACACGTTGGCCACGCACGGGGTGTAGCTGTCATCGTGCGCCTTGTTGAGGTCCCCGCGCATGTAGGCGATCACCCACCACATGGAAGCCATGAAGAGCCAGGCCACGGTGTAGGTGAGGATGAAGATGAACAGGTTCCAGCGCCACTTGAGGTCCACCAGCGTGGTGAAGAAGTCCGAGAGGTAGCGGCTGCTCTCGCCGCCCAGGTTGCCGTGCTGMACGTTGCAGCGCCCGTTCTTGTCCACGAAGCGCTGGCGCTTCCCGCGCGGGGCGCTRCGCGGGGGCGGGAGGCCGCCGCCGCTGGCCGAGGTGCTCACCACCTGGTACTCATCGCCCAGCTTGCGCCGCAGCGCCGACATGCTCCGCGCAGCCCCGCGCAGCGCCGCGCAGCCCGGCACAGCTCCGCGCCGCCCGCGCAGCCGGCACTGCCCGGCTCAGGACCGCGCAGGCGGCTCAGGACCGCGCAGCTCCGCGCAGCCGGCTCGGAATCGCGAAGCCAGCTCAGCCCCGCACAGCCCCGCGCAGCTCCGCACAGTTCCGCGCAGCCGGCACTGCCCGCCTCGGCCGGCTCAGGACCGAGCAGGCAGCCCAGAACCGCGCAGCTCCGCGCAGCCGGCTCAGGATCGCGCAGGAGGTTCAGAACCGCGCAGCCGGCTCAGAACCGCGCAGCTCCGCGCAGCCGGCTCGGAATCGCACAGCCGGCTCAGAATCGCTCAGCCGGCTCGCAATCGCGCAGCTCCGCGCAGCCAGCTCAGCCCCGCTCCGCCCCGCTCAGCTCCGCACAGTTCCGCGCAGCCGGCACTGCCCGCTTCGGCCGGCTCAGGACTGCGCAGCCGGCTCAGTCCCGATCAGTTCCGCGCAGCTCCGCACAGCTCCGCGCAGCCCC